ACAGAATCCCCCGGCCCCTGCCTTGAGGCTCTCTGCTCTGGCCCCTGGCTTCCAAAGCCTCCGAGTCCTTACAGCTAGCAAACGCCTTCTGGGGCTTTTTTTTCTCTGTTTCCGACAGGCCTGTGTCTCTGTTTATAGCCTTGTTGTCGAAGGTGACACGAAAGGGTCCCTTGGCTTCCCTGCCATTGCTGCTCCACTCGCTCTCGCTCCTAGAGACCCGACTCTGCTCCGAGCGCTTTTTCCTTTCCGAGTTCCTGCTGGAGACGTACGCCTCCGCCTCGTCGATCCTGTCGTCGTCCAGGGAGTCGGTGGAGGACGCGGAGAGCTGCTTCCTCGCGCGCATCCTCTCCCTGGCGCGCTCCTGCCGCCGCTCCACCCCGTCCACGAGCGGGGCTCCGTCCGCGCTGTTGTTGCTGCCGGCCGAGCTCGTGCTGCACGTGCGGTAGCGGCTCCGGCGCTTGTCGGAGCGCGAGTACCGCTTCGTGGAGCTCAGCTTCCCCTGCAGCTCCTCGCTCGTCCTCCTGATCCTGTCGCTTCGGTCTGTCCGTCTTCCTTTCTCTCCCTTTACAGCTTTCCCTCCTTCCCCTGTCAGGCTTCCCTCTCTATCCTCTCTGCTCGATCTGCTTCTCCTGCTGTTGTCTTTTCCAGCTGCTTTCTCAGACTCTTCATCTCCCTCAACTTTCAGCTGCTGCATCTTAGTGATGATCTCCTCATTAGCCGACTGGAGGGCCGGTTCTTTGGCAAGTGAATGCAGACGTTTCCCAGGCTGGTAGATCTGCTGGTCTGGCTTCTTGGTTCTCCGGGTGACCTTGGGACACCACTCACCCGGAGCAGGCTCCTTGCACGAGTTCTCCTGCCTTGGGAGACCACCTTTAGCCTCTGTCTCTTCGTCTCGCTGCAAAGGGCCGTTCTGTTTCTGGACGTCACCTTTGCCAAATTCCTCCATGACCGGAGCCGCTGCTGCAGAGGGATCTTTGTCACTGGAGCTTTCCTTGCCTTCCTCAGCCCTGCTCCTCTCCCTCTCCGAGGCCTCGTGCTTTGGCAGCGTGAGCTTGCTCCGCAGGCGCGAGAGGCCAGGCTTGTAAATCTCCAGGTCTGGGCGCCTGTTGTCTTTGCGGTGTCTTGGCTCCTTCACTTCTTTCACGTTGTCTGAGAAAAGATAGAGAGATGAGAGTTATTCCCAGCACAGACCAGCCAAGGAAAAACGAGAGGGAGACAAGCAGTTTAAGAAAAACACTAAGGCAATGGGCTGGACGCTCTCACAACAAGTCCAAGAGGATAGAACTGAAATTCTTTGTCAGAGCACTCCAGTAAATCACAGACAAAGAGCAAACGTGACGAAGCTGCCCAAATCCTTGGCCTGACTCACTCACAAGATGCTTCAAGCAACAGATTCTGCCACGAAGAGCACGCAGGGTAAGAAGGGAGCTGAGGAAGCGCAGCCAGGAGCGGGACGCTCGCGTACGAGGAGCTTTAACGCTGCTGTTTCCTGCTCGGAGCTAAAGCCTGTTGCTCACGCGGGGCCACTCGGCAGCGGCTCCTGTTCTCGCCCAGAGCCCCCTGCTACGAACAGCCCCTTCCCAACCACGGATTATCGAGGGATGAGGGGAAAATAGGAAAAACCCTCCTCTGTGCACCTCTGTAAGGGCTTTAACACCAAAAACAACGCTCAGCGAACACAGCGTGGGGGACAGAGCCCTG